GTAAATATCATCAGCCATAAATCCATCACAAATTTCCCATCCTATTGTCTAAAGATGGGCAAAAATGAAAACATTTCTATCGAAATCCCTTCAGGATATGCCCTTTGTCTGGTATTCCAATATTGGAACTCACCTGTCTGTTAGAATCAAAACTGAAAGGGACGTATTTGCTAAACTTGGTTGCTTCTAAAAATGTGTCAGTAGTTGAACTTGGAAAGATCTTAATGGGTCCCCATCTCACCAGTATCTGAACCTTTTTAGCCTTGGCCTGAGATGGATCCAAACACTGCTTTTTTTATCTGCCACTAAAACCATCATGATCTAGCTACTCTTTTGTCTGAAGTTCTTTGCTGAATTGTATTGGCTTCTTTCAACAGCAAACAACGTTGTAAAAATGTCTAGTTTAGCCTCACAATTGACAGCTTTCTGTCATCCTTTGCTGTTGGAAAGAAGGGCAATAGTAATTATGGTTTCTCCACTTAGGTTTCCTGAGCAATTGCAGTTCTTAGCTGTAGACACAAAAAAAAAAAAAAAAGTATCACAAGGTCAGTAGCACTTTGTGACTTAGCTAAGCTAACAAAATATGAGTACAAATGTATTTCAGCAGAAGGGTAGTCTTTCCTGAGCTACACAAGAGAAATGGGAGCTGAGCAGTGCTGTGTAGCCAAGCTTTGAAGAGGAAGTAAAGCTTTCCTCTGCTTTGAACAGAATAGGTAGAGCGTGAGACCCGTACCAACTTCCTCGATTTTAATCCCTGGCTATACCACAAATTGTTTGGCAAAATGTGTATTTAAGATTTTATAACAATTAGATTGTAAGATATTTTTGTTATATTAAGTATTAAATAGTCTGGAACTTCTATATTCAAGGGTCTGTGTCAGATCTTCCTCCTGCCATGGTTATGATCATTGGAGGCAAATAAACCCACCTGTAAAGACATGGAGGAATGTGGTGGAAGACTCTTCTGACTTTGTAAATTGCTTCATTGTGTAGCGCTCAGAAGTTTGAGTTTCTTTAGCTTCTGGGCATGCCATGAATCTGCTCTTTATTCATTTTCAGTGGATCTATTCTGTAAATAAGGAGAGAGATCAGAATTTTAGTCTGTAAAATAAAGCTCAAGCATGAGAAAACAGAATTCAAATCACAAGGCAAGCTTTCGCTTGCTACTTCGTAACTTCTGAGTTCCTCAGGCTTTTCAAGACAATGCAATAGATTTATCTAAGCAATTTGGTAAATAGTTTCACTCCTCTTGAGAGGAGGTTTAAGTGCACTTGTTTTACTTAGCATTATAATGAAAGAGATGAATTGAGTCAATGTGACCTGTTCTCTCATCCAAAGCAGGTTTATCATGTTGTCTTGGAGCATGGCTAGAAATAATATTATACAGCTTGCTAAGAAAATATGCCATGCAGCACCTTTGGAATCAAAATCTAGCCTTCAACCTAGAACAGTACTTACTTAAGTAAGTACTTAGTACTTACTAGAGCACTTTGTGATCTCAGACATGTAAAAAAATCCTTAGATTCCCAATTGGAATTTCAACATTGGAGATTTCAACTGAAAATCCCTACCTCTTTAAGCACTTTACTGTTGCCCACTGAAGAGCAATTTATAACAAAAATGCCTAAGAAATAGCGGTGTTTTCTCCTTTTAACTGATTTCATTTGTGTTCATGAGAACCACAGTCATTTGAAGTTGTTGACCAAAGTTTTGTGGTTAGGGTAACACATGAGTGAGGAAAGTTTTCCCAATGATTATATATGCAACACATATGGTTTGTTTTTCATCCCATGTTTATTGAATGGGTATAATTATAAAATATTACAAAATTTCCAGCAAATTTGCAGCCTTCTTTCAAATCAACACCTTAATTGCTCAGTTGGAGGTCTGTGTTAATCTTTAGTACACTTGTGATACTTTTAGTGTATGTTAGACTTATTTATCTAATAATGAGGATGAGCGATTTTGATAGAGTAAAACATTGAGCTTGATCCAGCGTTCATTGAAGTTTGCAGATATAATTAATATAATTACTCTTATTGTCAATATGCAACATCCAGGAGTTGCTACTGTAGCTGCTTTTTCTTTAACTGATTGAAATTCTTTTGATATCTGTAAATAATGGTTGGAGATGCTCTCTACCTTTCAAATTCAGCTGAAAGAAACATTATAAATATTACTTTCATATAGTTGTTAGGGTAAATGATTTGAAGTTCATGAAATGAACTTCAAAAGAATTGAAAATTACTCTTAATTCTTTCCAAACAAGTGACAAATATATTAGTCATCTCAGTTGACCTGAATATTCATTTTTCATTAGTGGTTAATAAAATATACCTACTGTGAATTCAGGAATCCATGAATATACTGAAGGATCACTGCTGACTTAGCTATAATTTTTCAACAGTTGTGGTATGTTATCACTAATGGTTACTGACAGAAAAATCAGTTAATAACATCTTGTAATAATGCAGGGCTATAAAGGACACTATGCTTCTTTTTTGTGTGTTCAGTTCTGAGCAGCTAGCTCACATCAACGTGAAGGACTGAGACTTTGAAGCGTGTGATAAACACACTATTATTCCTGAATAATCTAAGAGTGTGTTACAAACAGCTTCTGGTATTCTTAGATTGGTCAGACAGGTAAACCTTTCATGCAGATGGGAAAAGGTCCCATTTGGATCCTCTGCTTAGATTGCTGTTAAAATTCAAGTTCTTTAAATCATGGAGTAGCTGTAGTTGTTGAACATTTCCTAATTGCTTTATGTTGAATGTTGCCAAACCACTTTCATTATCCTCTTCACTGTAGGCTTCGTCTTTACTGAGCCAACTTTCAAAAAATATTCAGATTCAGTGATTGATGTTTGTTGTCAAGGTTTATAACACTGTCAAAGGATTATAATGAAAGCCTTAGGAGCCTTAATATTAATGCCATGTCTACCCTACCTAAAACCCACAAATGTCTAAATATAACAGGCTAAGGTTCGAACACTGATGCTAATGTGCTTGCACTACGCTTTGTTAGCTGTTTCTGTTTTTGTCAGAAAAACAGATGTAGAATATATTTATCTGATAGCTGAGATAATGCTGAAGCTGGAACTTTCACAACCATCTTTTCTGACAGGAACTTTTGCTATAAAGGTGCTGATTTTGCATTTAGAATAACTTGTAGATTTGCTTTCCTTGACTTCATCTAAACTATTTTCTTTGAGTTAAAATTGCTTGTGCTAAATTATACAATAAATCTAAATAGGTAGGAGGCAGAGGATTACAAAATACAATTTCAAAGATGATCTTTTAGTAGAGTCTTTTCTACAGAGTTCAGGAGTGTGGGACAACTGAGAATGCAGAATAAAAGAATAAACTGCAACTTCATAAAGATAATGAATTCTCAGATTTCAAACAACCTGGTTTAGATTTTGACAGATTTTTCACTATAGAAGTTAGACAAAACCAAAACAATTTCTCCCCCTTCCCCCAAACACTCCTTAGTTTCGCTTAGATTTCAAACTTAGTTTACTCATTCTCCAGGCCTGCTTTCAAAAAGTGTACTATGGATTTCTCCTAGTAGGGAATTCTTTCATCCTGTGTGTTTTTAGATGTCCTACTTTTTTCCTTTCTTTTTCTTAACAAAAATGGTTGTAATTGCTTCTAAGAATAAAGTGTAATTAACATTCAAATCCCAACATGTTATTCAACTTGTTCATTATATTTTCAAAATTCTGTCGGTTGTTGGAATGACCCCACTGCTCCTACAGATCCTTCAAACTGAGTAGCCCTGACCTTTTTTGCACGCTCAAATAACCTCAAATTTTTGTTAGTACATTAAAAATGTATTATATTCTATATATGATTTCATTGCAAATACAGAGAAGAATTCTAAGGAACCATGGCTTTCTCAATTAGTGCAATGCTGAAAAGCTGGTCTAAAATTATTTTTTAATATTGTGTGCAAGGTGTCAACTGATTTCAGTAGTCATAAGTGACGTGAAATAAAATTGCACTGCAGGAGCAAGACTTCTACAAAGAGTGCTAAGAGAATGTACCCCAAACTGCATTGCTTTGTTGTTATTTTTGGCCTTCAGCTTGCCCACTTGATGCTCAGAAAGTGATGCCCAACTAGATTTACTGTAAAAGTTGTGTTTCAGCTCAGTGCTAAATAAAACTAAATAAAGCCCTAGTCCTGCAAACTTGCACATGTTTGGCATTACTTCTGGCATAAAATATCTATATGCTAATGTCAAAAAGTTCAAATTCCAATTTTAAATTGCTTTGTGTTATTCCAAAAAGGCTAATATTTTAACTAGCACAATTAATGTTAGATTAAAAACAAACAAAAAACGCGCCACCCCCAAAACCAACCCCCTCCCCAAACAATAAAAACAGCAGCAAGTAATGACACAGTTATGTTGGGAATAAAAATGTTTATGATGTACATCATTACATAAATGAATTATCTAGTACTTTAAGGTACTTGCTTTCATACTCAGAACTGGCCTAAAATATCACTTCAAAATGTGTTCTTAATTGAGATACATAGACAAAAGTTTTCTGTGAAGTAGGACTTTATCAGTTCTGAGTACTTAGTGTCACATACAGACTGTGTTAAGCATTATCTCCCATTATGTCTGGATTTGCCTCCAGATTTTTTTTTCCATGCAGAATACATGTCTGGATAGCATTTGTAGATTTTGTACGCATATCTGAGAATGCATCATGTATGTTACGTACAAACTGGTCCTGAAGTACACAAGGTGTGAATCTGAGAGAGCTTTGCCAACTGTGTATCTGTACAGTAAATCAATGCTCAGTTGCATTGATTTCACTGTATATTCACAGGTTGTGTCAGTCCAAAGGGCTCAGTACTTTGAAGGCAAAAACAATCTACGGTTCTACCAAAACTACCAAATGCTTTGGTTATAAACCATCAAGATCAGTCTCCCACACTGTGCCACCTATAAGACAGCAGTAGATGCATCACTACAAAGATTATGGTGTCA